CTTTCATCCGGTTAAGATCTGTCCCGACCCAAAGGCCAATAGCCAGGCTAGCTGACCCTGAGGACCCAAAGCTGGACGACTCAGCCAGCCAGCCCTGCCTGTGGGGGGCTCTGAAGAATGCTAGGAAAACTTGGAGAGATCATCCCAACGTGCTCTCCTAGGGCCTCAAATGCCACTGCCACAGCTGGGTTTGGGGATCAGGAAGCCTGTCAGCCTCGCCCTAACAGTGTCCATATGAAGTACAAAAGCCCGAGAAAAGGTGTCACGAGTGATACCAGTTATAATTCTAGGAGTTCGACTCTTACTGGTAATTTTGATAAAATGGCAGAATGCCCTGTGATGCTTTAAAAAAATATACATTCCTGGGTATGAGTCAGTGGGTGTGGTCTCCGGCCCCAGTGACCCCTGCCTGCTGACAGTCACACCTTTGTGCGGTCCCTTCTGCACTGGGCCAGGCTTGGTGTGTTTGCAACTGACATACGGCATGTGGCAGAGGGAGAGCATGTCACTTCTGAGACTCCGGTACGAAAGATCGGGACTTCCATGCTGGATGCTCTCTCTCTCTCTCAGATCACTTGCTTTGGAGGAAGACTGCGGCCATGTTTGTGAGGACACTTGGCAGTTTAGGAAGAGGCCCGCGGGGCAAGGAAATGAGGCCTTGAGCCAACAAACAAGGTGGAACTGAGGGAGGTGGGTGAGGGGCCATGATGGAAGGAGGCCCTCTGGCCCCAGTCAAGCCTTCAGATGGCTGCAGCCTTGGCCATCAGCCTGACGACAGCTTCAGGAGAGACCCCTTGAGCCAGAACCCCCAGCCGAGCAGTTCCCAGATTCCTGGCCCCATGAATGTATGTGGGATGGCAAATGTCTGTTTTTTTTTTTTTCTTTAAGCTGTTAGATGTTGAACCATTTATTATGCAGCAGGAGATAATTCATGCAGTGGGTCTAGGGTAAGACCAGAAAGCTGTAGACTTAAAAGCTTCCCAGACAGATCTCATGTGCAGCCCAGGTTCAGTACCATGGGTTTAGGGACCTAACTGCTCCGAGTTTTCCGGTGGCAAAGCTGACTCATAGTGGCATGTGTGCATGGGAGCACCAAAGCCCGGATGGCTGTGTGGACCCCCACTGCATAGAGATGAGGGTGGGGGAGACCTCCACAACCAGAAGCCCCTAAGACTGTGTCAGACACGGCCCCAGAGAATCAGGAGTGCTTGCTGACTTATTGTTCCCTGGAAGAAAGAGAGAAAAGGTGGAATATGTGCTGGCCTGATGATTCTCACCATCGGATTAGTAGTAGAACCATTTCCTCCAATGAAACAATTCACAGTAGACTGGTTTAGAGATGTCAGCAGAGCAGTTCTGGGTGAGCCCAAGTAGGGGCCGCTGAAACTGCTTCTCCAGCCTCCCCACTCCTAGTAGGACTCCCAAGGCAGCTCTGAAAAATCCGAGGGCTTCACAGTTTGCAGACCTGTGATCTAGTCCAACTGAGTCATTCTACCGATGAGTAAACTGAGGTGGAGGGAGGGGAGGTGACAGCATTTCTGGGGTGGAAGTCTGCAGCTTGATTCTCCTGACTTCTAGTGCAATCTTTCTGCACTGCCTGGGAGGTCACTTAGGAAAAGTGCCCAGGGTGGGACACAGGGAACTGCTCCCTCTCCCACCTCCGAACCAGGCCAGGGGAGCCCACCATCAGTGGGAGGGAGCACCAGGCATTGTTCTCAATGCTCCACATGAACTCGGTACTCAGTCTTCACCAACGCCCTTCTCAAGTAGGGCCTGCCATTATCTTCATTTTATATAGGCGGAAACTGGGGCACAGCAAGGATAAGTAATTAGCCCAGTTCCTTGGCTTAGTCAGTGGCAGGGCCAGGATGCCATAAAGTCTATGTCTGCGGTCCAGACACTAAGCCCTTACCTCCTGAGCTCTGCTGCCTCCCCCAGCCAGGGGCACAGCTCTTCCTGACCTTCAAACAGAAATGAAAGCCCCTCCACTCTGCTCTGCTCCCCAGGGAGCTAGGAGACAGGCACCAAATAGGAGAAAGAGGTCATACCAGTTAACTTCCTGGCCAGGATGTCCCCCACTTCTGGCTCAAAGGCCACCAAAAGGTGAACACCTCACCTAGGGCAGGGGAATGTGGATTCTCACTTGGATCTGTGTCTCTCAAACAATTTTTTCTATCAACCACGAATGCTGTAAGCATTTAGGAATGGAGCAATAAAATAGTAATTTCTGAGTACTTTATCCTTTTGTCTTTTGCACCAAAGCTAGCTTTATATTAGCAGTGATAACTGAACACAGATCCAGCTCAGAGGATGCTCCGTGCACTGGGATACTCCATGCCATTGACCTACACACCATGGCTGAAGATACGGATTCTTTTTGTCTCCCAAACTTACAGGAAAGTTATAAGGACGATACAAAGAACTTCCCTATGCTCCTCACTCAGAGTCCCCGACTGTTAAAGCTCACCATTTGCTCTTCAGTTCATCTGTGCATCTACACACCCATTATTTTTTCTTTCTCTAAACATTTGAGGACAAGCTGCAGACAGGAAGCCCCATATCCCTCAAATCCTCTACTGTGTATTTCTCAGAAACAAGGACACTTCACTATAGAGCCGTCATCTAGCCCTTCAGGTCAGGACACCAACACCCAGGCGTCACTACTGTCCCCTTCCCCAGATCCCCATTCACATTCTCCAACTGTCCGATAAAGTCTTCTGGTCCAGGATCTCAGCAAAGAACACACATGGCTTTCAGTCTGCCTCTTTAGGCCCCTCTGACCTGGAAGATTCCTTGGTCTTTTCCTGTCTTTCATATACAAGTGGTTCAAGGGAATGGTCCTTACATTTGTTTCTTTATGATCAGACTCGGGCCATGCTTTCTTAGCAGGAGACCCCTCGGAAATGCTGTGGGTGCTTCCCATGCAGCACACCAGACAGCACATGGTGGCTACCCATCCCGTCACTAATGATGTTAACCTCAGTCATATGGTCAAATTAGACTCTGGCAGGTTTCTCCACCTGAAGGTCACACATTTCCCTTTGTAATAAGGTGAGTCCTATCTGTGCTCCAGTCTGGTGCCTGGAAGAGAATTTCTAGACTGCAACACAGGGGGAGTAGTCTACACAGAGCCAAGTGGTCTCAGTGAGTTATGGGGACAGAGTTCAAAATTCAGGGAGTCTGAGGCAACTAGAATTTGCAAGGCAGAGCACCAGAGAGAGAAATCCAGAAATCTGCAGACCATCGGGTCTCTGGCTGAGCACTAATTTGTGCATGTGTGTGGGGAAACTTCCAGAGCCAGTAGAAGGCTTCCTAAAAGGAATGGACAGAAAAATCCCCTGAGATCACACAGGGCTAGAAACATTCTGTGTTCCCAGTGGATGAGGTTGAAACACTTCTACTGGGAAGCAATCTCAGAAGGGTATTGACTCAGTAGTGGAGTAAGAGGTATCGTAGACTAAAGGCCTTCCACCTAACAAGGCTTTAAAAACAAGCCTTGAAAAGATCAAGCTCTTCTGAAGTAACTTAACTGTGTTCCAGAACAATCCCCCAGATATGTAAATGAATACTAACAAAAATCCAGTACCCAACAATGTAAAATTCATAATACCGCAACTAATCTAAAATCACCAGGACGCATACAAAAATATTTCCAGGAGAAAAATCAATGAATACAAACAGACACTGAGATGACATGGATGGCAGAAGCAGTAGAGAAGAACCTTAAAACAGTTATTATCAATATATTCCTTATGCTCAAGAAGATTGGGGAAAGCATGGGCATGAAGAAGAGAGACATGGAAGACAGAGAAAAAAAGATCTAAACGGAACTTCTAGACATGAACAACACAATATCCGAAATGAACAATATCCTAGACGGTATTAATGCTAGGTTAGGCTTTGCAAAAAAAGACTAATGAACCTGAAGACACAGCAATGGGAACTATTCAAAACGAAGCACACTTGAGAAGAAAGACTTAAAAAAAAATTAGCAGAGTTTGAGGAGCCATGGGAAAATAGGAAGAAACACAGCAGACATATCACTGGAATCCCAGCAGTGGGAGGAGATGGTGGCTGAAGTTTATCCAAATTTGGTTAATAGATCTAAGATCTAAGAAAGACAATAAACGCCAAGTAGAAGAAACAAAGAAAAAACCAGCTCAAGGCCCATCCTCTTCAGATTGCTGAGACCTTGACTGGGCATTTGATCGTCTCCCATTAATGGGCCCGAGGCATGGACACTGAACCCACAAAATGGGACAAGCACAAAGGGAGCAGGGAGAGAATGGGCGAAGGTGAAGTGGCATGAGATTCAGGTGGGAAGGAAAGCGGGATGTGGTGAGTGTGGTGGCAGATCACTGGTGGGGTGGGTTCAGTCACCTTGGAGACTGGTTCTCACTCGGCTATGGCAGGTCCCAGTGCCATGCCCGGATGCAGATTCCTACTATTTCTGCACCAGAAACATCTAGAGAACTCAGATCTGCTCTTTGCTGAGTGGATCCTATTGTCCCAGAGCCTGGCTTAATTCAGGGAAAGGAGCCCAATCGATGATAATATCAGCAAGCACAGAGGACACCTAGAGGCTGGCAGGACAACTCCACTTTTCAAAAGCCTAAAAATATGCCCCGACCATGCTGGAAATCCCAGCAGTCCCACCAGTCCCACTAGAACACACTGCAGGACGCCTCGCCTGCAGAGACTTCAGGTCAAGGGACAAAAAATTTCCAAGTGCTCTGAGTTGCCATAGCATGGCCCCATTTCACCTATGGGGGCTCTCAGGCCTGCCACCGATGCCTACAGCACAGCCAAGAGTGTGCCGCCATACGCATCATCATGAGACAGCCTGGCCATCGGCGGGCACCTACCTCTACCCACCTACTGCTGCAGGGACACCCAGTTCCACCCTGCTGGAGCAAGGGGCCAAAAGAACATGTAGGCTCAGCCCAGACTGAGGATCCGGACCTGGCTGGAGGGGTTGGAGACTCTGCTCCTGTACCTACCTGCCAGGCTGGGAGAACCTTCTCGATGTCGTTCAGGTTGATGCTATCCCCGTCTTCTAGCTTCCCTTTTCCACACCTGGACCAGAAAAGACAGAAAGGCACTGAAAAGTTGGCAGGTTTCTGCATCCTATCCCGGCCCAGCAAGCAGAAAGAGCAGACACCTGGCCCTGCTTCCCGAAGGCCTGCAGGACTGGTCAGTCCCATCCCAAGGAAACAGCCCTGGAGAAGCATGCCCTCCTTCCCCAGGCCTGGCAACATGGGCCCTGCCTCGAGAATGAAGGACGTTGTACAGGTGGGAGTGCTGGGATGAGTCCAGGGGCAGGGAGCACTAATGTGACATCCAACGGGGAGGTTAACAGAGGTCCCAGAGCTCCCTTTGATCCTTCCAGGCAAAGATGCTAAGTTCCTTGCTGATGAATACCCCCAAACCTCTCACAGCTCCTGCAAAGCCCATCATCTCCCCCATTATACCAGAGGGACAACGAATGAACAGAAAGACTAAGCAACTTTCTTGAGGTCACACAGGCCTGCAACAGGGATTTCTCCTTCCTCGGCCTGCCTCTGGGCCAATCCAGCAAGCACTCTCAGATGCTGATGCTTTGTCTTCATGCCCCCTGCAGGCAGCCCTACCATCAGGCCGCAGACACTGGCCTCGGTTTGCTACCCATCACCCACGTCTCCTGCGATTGAAAGACTCTGGGACCGGACTGCCAGGCTGGAACCCCAGCTGCATCCCTTACTAACTGGGTGATCCTATGTGACTCACTTAACCTCTCCGGAGGTTCTGGGGATCAAGAGTAGTGGCAGGAGGATTAAATCAGTTCATGTATCTAAGCACTTAGAATCATGCCTGGTACTCATGTACGTGCACACCCGTATGCCCCCATATACACACATCTGTATTTATATACCATATTCAATGGTATGCATATTATTATGGTAACTACGGGCAATAATTACATCAAATTCTAATAAGATAAATACGGCAAATACATTATTCCCACTAGGGCTACTACTCCTAGTACTAATATGATTTACAACTATCTTACTACTATTCCTACTATTACCGTTTTGCTACTATTTCACTGCCACTGTCTTGGCTGCTGTGGTGGGAAGAGCGCCAGCATGGAGACTGATTAAGAGCCTAGACTCTGGAGCTGACCTCAACCCACGCAAGTTACTCGCTTCTCCGTGCCTCCTAGTTCCCGCAATCTGTCGAAGTGAGGATAATAATGCTCCCGCCTCCATAGGTTGGGTGAGTTTTAAATGACGTGAGGCGAACACTTGGAACGGTGCCCAGGACGGATTAGTGACCACTGTTCTCATTGTTATTATTAGGGACCCAGGCACCCTGAGGGCTGTCCGGTGTGATAGCCACAGAATTTTCCAGCTGCAGAATTAATGCAACTCTCAAATTTCAGAGCATGTATTTGTTCAATATTTACCGAGTGTCTGTTTTTCTGGCCCTGTCAACTTCCCTTGGAGTCATGGAAAAGAAATCTGGTGTAGTTCCTGCCCTCCACAACTCACAGCTCTTCGGAAACACACACTCAACTCATCTGACAGGGCAGAGCCCCATCACCAGTAGGGGGCAGCATGTGATAAGCATCTTGAAAGCCTTACAGACAGAGGAGCCCAGTGGGGGCATATCCCAGAAAGGCTTGGGTGGAAGAGGGTAGGAGGACATGATCTACGCCCCTCATTCAACAAGTGTTTCTGTGTGGGCTCCGGCTCGGGTTGGGCCCCAGTGTAAAGAGTGCATAGACTGGGCCTCTCAGGGCAACAGAGGGCAGTACGGGAACCACGAGGAATGCTGCCCAGACCGTCCAGAGGCATCCAGAATGGTCTGGGGCAGAGGGAGGGAGGCAGGTCCTAAGCTGGCCAAGCAGAGAACGCGGGAGAATGTCCTGGGCAGAGGGCGGCAAGGCAGTGGCCTGGAGCAAAGCCCAAGTATGGGATGTCCACGTTCCTGTCAGCGGAGTGTGGCGGATGGGGGTGGGTAAGGGGGCAAGATGGTGCTAAGAGGGCTGGGGCCTGAAGGACAGCTCGGTTCTGGGAGGTGGATCTGGGGTGGGAGGGGTGTAAGGAAGGTGTGAGGGGCACGTCACCCCGACTGCAGCCTCCTGATGCCCTGGGCTGCAAGCAGACAGGGAGGTGGAAAGAGGTCTGGAAACATCCGGCTACCTTCTCACTACAGGCTGGCCGGTGGAGGTACCGATGGCTTGCCTCTGTATTTCATACACAGCGTGGCAGTGGGAGGGAGGAAGTTGGGGACCATTGGCTGACTGCAATGGCTGACACCCTCTCCCCCAGGTCATGTGTGCCACCCCCCACCTCTGGACTCCCAGCTGCCCCAGGCTCCAAGCACACGCTAGACACCAGCTTGGCTCAGCACAGGCGCGGTCTTTCATCCTCACCTCAGTGGCCCCTGGGGGCAGAAGGGGACCCTGTGCAAGGTAGGGCTGCTGTCCCCTTAGACCCATCCTCTCTGGGGTTCGGAACTCCCCGGAGGGACTGCAGGTTCGGAGGGCAGAAGGTTGCCACAGACCAGCTGAGTCACCGCTGCCAACAGGGTTTCCAAGGCAACAGCCTTCTCTGATTTCTGTCCCTCCATGGAAACATGGTCTGCAGGAAGCCTTGGCAACCAACCTTGGTCCCCTGCTTCTGAGGGACGCTGCAGTGGCTGGGCATGTGGCATCTGTCCCCAGTATGGCTGGCCTCTAAGGGCGACACAGTTCCTGCCACAAGGTGGCCACTGGACGTTAGACTCAGGGTCCCCGACCCCTCGGGGCCCAGGTCTCACCTCTGCTCTATCCCATTCTAATAGGGCACCTCCATGCTAAAGGCCACCTCTACTCTCTACCCAAGCAAAAATGCTCTAGGGAGTTCTTATGGAACCCACACGGGGGGACAATGGAAAAAGGAGCCGTTGTGAGAGCCTGGGGTCCCCTGGGAGAGTACAGGCAAGTGATGGGTCTCTCCCCAGAAAAATTTCCACAAGCACATGAGTTTGCATGGAATTTTAAGGGGCTTAAGCTGCTTTGCAGATACTCTGGTGTGGTGACCTGGGCACTGGATGGCATCAGAAGGCCTTAAATCATGGCTTGTCTACTTGGGCAAGTTAGTCTGACTCTCTGAGCTACATTTCTCTCATATCTGGAATAGGGACAAAAGCATCTCCCTCCCCAGGCTGTTGCTCATGACCCTGGTGAGACCAGAGTGGTCAGAGAAGGGGTGCCTGCTAGGGTGGGGTGGGGAGCAGGTGAGAGGCAGTTACGTTTAACATAACCAATAATCTCAGTTATGTTCAGATCTGCAGTGACAGGAGCCAGGAGTGGACAGGAAGGTATTGGAAGGAAAAGTAAAAGTCATCAGCATAATAAAAAAAAAAAAAAAAGAGAACAACCAGTGTTGGCAAAGATGTGGAAAAATCAGAAGCCCTGAGTATTGCTGGTGGGAAAATATACAGCCTCAGTGGAAAATCGTTTGGCAGTTCCTCACAAACTTAAAACAAGGAATTACTATGTGTGGTATTGTGATTTATAGAAGATATATTTGGTCTTCTTCCCCAGTCCTGGTACAGAGCTCCTAAAATCCTTGGAATTCCTTAAGCCAAGACAGAGATAATGGTGTTTTTTGTTATGTTAATGTGACGGCTCTCGAGAAAACACTTAGGGAACCTAAGGGAGGGGCCTATTTGACAGGGGACCTAACTTTGTGATTTCCAGTCCTAACTCTGACTTCCAGGGAGGGGAGAGGGGCTGGAGGTGTAATCAATGGCGAATGGCCAGTGATTCGATCAGTCATGACTGTGTAATGAAGTCCCCCAAAAAGCCCCAAAGGAGAGGCTTTGGAGGGCCTCGGGGAGGAGCTCACGCAGGGATTCTGGGAGACTGGCACTCTGGACAGGGCACGAAGCTTGGCAGCTTTCCCCATCCCTCTCCTATGCATCTCTTCCATCTGGCTGTTCCTGAGTTATATGCCTTCATATCAACCAGTCATCTAGTGAGTACAGTGTTTTCCCAACTCCCGTGCCCCCACGCCCCAGCAAATCCATAGAAGCCAGGGAGGGGGTCGCTGGACCCCCAACCTAGAGTCAGAGATCTGAAGCACAGGTGACAGCCTGGCCTTTTGACTAGCATCTGCAATGGGGGAAAGGGACAGTATGTAGGACTGAGCTCTCAACCTAAGCTTGTGGGGTCTGATGGTGTTTCAAGGTAGACTGGGTTAGCATTGAGCCAAATTGTGGACACTCAGCTGGTATCAGAAAACTGCTTGGTGGTGTTGGGGAAAAAAACACACACACGACAAAACTGGTGTCAGAATTGGACCACGTGACTCAGCAATTTCATCCCCAGGCCCATACCCAAAAGAACTGAAAACAGGGACTGAAACAAGTACTTGGACACAAAGGTTCATGGCCGAATCTTTCACAATAGCCAGGACATGGAGAGAACACAAATCCCCATTAGCAGATGAATGGACAAACAGGGACAGAGACACGGGATGGAATATTATGCAGCCATGAAAATGAACAAAGGGCTGATAGATGCTCCATAATGTGGATGAACCTCAAAAAATTATGCTGAGGGAAAGAAACCTGAGTGCAAAGACCTCATATGATCCCATTTCTAGAAACTTCTAGAAGAGGTAAATTCACAGAAACAGAAAGCACACTGGTGGTCACCAGGTGTAAGAGAGGGCTGGGGCATAACTGCTTAGCAGATTTGATTCTATTCTGGGGTGTTGAAAATGTTCTGAAACTACAGGGAGGTGGTAGTTATTCCATATTATGAAAATACGAAACAAAATGAAACTGGACACTTTAAAATGGTGAATGCATTGTTATGGGAATTCTAAATGAATAACAATTAATTTTTTAAAAAAGAAAGGGCAAAAAAACAAAACAAAACAAAAACCCCATCTGTCTTATTCCCCTGGGTCAGTCACATTGCTGTCCTGAGGTGAGCCCAGGCCCGGACGTATCATTAAGAGAAGAAGCAACAGTGATACATGATAAAAGCAGAGGATGGGACACCAGAGTGGTTCTCAAAGTGGGGGTCCCTGGTCCAGCGGGACCAGCATCCCCTGGGAACTTGTTAGGAATGCCCATTCTCGGGCCCCACCCCAGACCTCCCGAATCAGAGTTCAGGATGTTCTGGCTGTTTTAACAAGTTTCCCAGTGGCCCCGATCAAAACTGTGACCCACTGCACTCGACTGCCGACAAGCAGAGCCGCGGTGGTCAGGAAGAGGAGCGGGTGGTGCGGGTGGAGGAGGCTGGACAGGGAAGGGTGGAGAGAGGCCAGTGAGTCTGCGGTTCTAGGCAGAGAGCCTCTCTGGACATCAGCCACCTGTGTGTCCCCAGTGCAGCAGAGATGTCTGTCTGCCCACCCAGGGAAAGGCCCCTGTTGACCCCCGGATGGCTGCAACCCCTCCCACCCCTGTGTAAGAGCCCCTGGTCACCGCTTACCCTTCCCGGTCGATATGCGGCAGGGGCTGCTTGGGCGTATGTCTCAGCTTCCGGTGGAACTGGGTGAAGTCTAGCTTTTCGGGCTGCAGGTCCCAGGTGGCACCACTGGAGGATGAGAAAAGGTAAGGAAGGGAGGTAAGTGGGCGACCAGCCCAGTTACTGATGGGCACCAGACAAGTAGGCACAAGCCTGGCAGGGAATGTCCTCACAAAGAGGGGGGCAGGGCGGGGAGGGCATCCACCAGCCAAGGGCAGGGTTGACAGAGACCACTCACTCAGAATGAGGCCTGTGGTGTCAGCTCTGCTCACAGACATGGGGGCAGGAGGCTGCGTGCCAAGCCCTCACCTCTCTTCAACCTCGCTATGCCATAATGTGTGCCGGTAAAACACAAGTGTCGGTCTGCGGCCTATCCTACAGTGAGTGGTCCCTCTAAAACACTCCAGAGTTTGCTTTCACATCTACATGTGAGGAAGGCTGGAGAGAAAGGAGGCCAAAAGAAGCTTCTGACAGAAGCTCAAAATGGCGGCAAGGCGGCTCTGAGGAGATAAGGCAAGTGCCAGGAGGCCAGGTGCCATCAGCCCCAGTCCCAGGAGACCATGGTGCTTCCATTCTGTGCAAACTGGAGTCTGAGCCAGGGATAGGCCTGAAGCATGCCCAGTGTTGGCCAGCTCCAAGCCAGCGGCAGAGTGGAGCTAAAGGGTAACTACCATCCACAGTCTGAAGCCATCCCTCCCCAGAGGAATGAACATATGGTATGTACCCACTAGCAAACCTTTCAAGGGCACCGTCCCCACATACTGAGGTAGTCCTGGCCAATACCTGTTCTTCCAACTTGGTCTATCAGGAACCTTCCAGAGTCTGAACTACTGAAAGCCCTTCCCTCCTCCGGACCTCCCTGCAGCCATAGCCTCCATCGTCTGCTATATACCATTTTCCTTTGCTCTTCCAACCACCAGTCCACCCCTCTGTCTTCTCTCCCTCTTCCCTGTGGTTGAACTATTAGCATCTGTCTTCTCTTCCCCCTCAACCCTCTCTCAGCCTCCCTTTCCTTCTCTTTCACTCTTTCCCTTGGATTTCTCCTTTCCCCTCATTTGCCTTCCTTCGATCTCCATTCTCTCTCTCTGACTTCCTTCCTCAGTGGTCTCATCCTTTCTACTTCACCCCCTCTTTGTTTCTCTCTACTTCTTGATCAGTGAACGCTCAACATTTACTCAACTTCCAAAGACCCCATGGGGCTTCTATAAGGACAAGAAGCTGGCATCCCAGCCAGGGGCATACGCCACAGGCAAGAGGAAGGGGAGCTTACCTGAAGGAATCAAAGGTGTTGGCTGCCCAGATATCTGTGCCCAGCATGTCCAGAGAGTTGTCTTTGCTGCCATTCTGGAAAAGACGGGGGATGAAAAGGGTGGCGTCATTTCCTAGTTCAGGACACTGAGAACAAGTAGGCAAAGGCCCATTCACAGAGAGGGCTGCAGAGGACTTCCCTCTCCCGCCTCGGTTGGTCATTCTGGGCAGCCTGAGGGCTTGAGAGAGCCACTAGAGTGAGCATCCTGGCTGGTGCACCCCGTAAGAGTCACAAGGACCCCTGGTGTCCCCCCAGGCATAGGCCCTCACTTCGATGGTGTCTGACAACTGCGCAGGCATGTATAGGAATAGCGTGGGTCTCTGCTGCCCTCAGTCCATCACTCTCTACTCAAAGCTGCCACACTAATGAGCTGCTGCCACCATCGCCAGCCTGATAGCAGTGGCTTCTTCCCAGGCATGGAGATTCTGCAAAGCCAGACATGGCGGCAGGTCCATGTTGAGGGGCTGACTTCCTCTAGGGTTAAGCCCCCACTTCCCCAAACCAGGCAGCACAGAGAGGCCCCCATTGACCAAGGTTACACCAGCAATTAAATTCTCTAAGTCAACCCCCTCCAGTCTTTGTCCTCCAACGTCCCATATATGATCTATCCCGTAGACAGAAAGCACTTTATTCCATCCAGTCTCTACAATTTGACTTCTCTGCCCCTTGGCTAATGATCTCTCCAAGTTCTCTGGCAACTTGCCTTCACTCCTGATGTCATCCATCCCTCGTTACCCCTACAGTCCGCTCTCATCATCAATACTTCCACCTCCAGTACATCTGGGAGTGTGCACGCCTCAAGACCCAGAAGTCATGCCCAGGTACAAACACCAGTGAAATATGCACAGATGTTCCCCAGCAGCATGAAGCACAGAGCTACAGAACAGCCCTATGCATAATACATCCACGCTTACCGGAAGTTGACCAGACGCGTAAACTGCAGTATATTCACATACTAGAATATTACACGGCAGTGAGAATGAACAAATTAGAGCAACATACAACAGCAGAAGTCAATCCCCCAAAACACAAAGTAGAACAAAAGAACCCAGACACAAAAAAGTACCAACTCTATGACTTAATTTATATCAAGTTCAAGGATAGGCAAATTAACCTGAGAAGATAGAGTTTACATAGAAGCCGGGGGTAGGGTGGGGGCCATGGGGGAGCTGGTAATGTTCTGTTTCTCAATCTGGGTGCTGGTTATATAAATGTGTTCAGCTTGTGAAAACCCACTGAACCATACACATGTGATATGTGCAGATTTTCCATGTGTTTTAGGACCTCCTGGTTAGATTCCTGGTAGCATCCCCTGTCTTTATGACCAATCTCTCCCCAAACCTGCCACATCTCAGGTCCTTTAGCTCCAACACTGGACAAGCTTCTTTTGAGACCTTGCCATGAAGCTAGGCCTGGCCAGACACTGAAGACACAGAAGTGGAAAAGTCACAGGCCCTGACTGCAAAGAATGGTGTGTGATGACACACATGTAATAAAAAATTATAAGACAGTGTGATATGTACACTGATTCAAGGGGCCACAGTAGCACAGGCAAGTTTCCTGGGGACTCCCCTTGAACAGGGGATGCAAGTATTCATGAGGGTCATGCAAGCAGAGGGAAAAGCAGGGACAGAGTCATCCTCGTAAAGGGGTTGGCGTGTAGAAACAGTAGGACACACAGGGTATTCTAGATAACTTTAGGGGCTCTGTGGAGCACAGCAGCCTGGAGAGTGGCCAGGGATCCCAAGCCCTAGGTGAGTTGGTGATCTCCAACATGACCCACTCTGTCCTGGCCAGGACTTCCTAGAGGCCCCACAAGTGCGCCTCAGTGACTGCTGGGGTTGCATGGTGGCCCTCTCCAATTCGTATGTTGAAGTTCTAACCCCCAGTACCTCAGAATGTAACTCTATTTAGGAATAGGTGGTTGCAGATGGAATTAGTTAAGATGACATCACACGGGTGGGCCCTAACGCAGTATGCCTGGTCTCATTATAAAAAGAGGAAATTTGGACACAGAGACAGACACGCACAGAGGGAGGACTCCATGGGGAAACTGGAGTCATGCTGCCACAAGCCGAGGAACCACTGGGAGCTGGGAGAGAGGCCTGGACCAGATCCTTCCTTGGTGCCTTCACAGGGATCATGGCTCTGCCAACTCCCTGATTTCAGATTTCTGGACTCCAGAACTGTGGGATGACTACACCTTTCACTAGGTCGACCCAGTTTGGGGATCAGAAATGTAAAATCAAGCAGCCCTAGCAAACTAATATGGCAATCAACCATCCACCTGTCTACAAACGCCCTTTGTGAGGGTGGTCAGTCATGTCCCTTCCTCCCGCAGTTACCAGTTACCCCAACCCTGTGACCTTCTCCTGTCCTCACAGCCATGCCCAACACCTGAGGCCTAGGGTTTCCCAAAGCCTACAAACACACCAGCCTGGGTAGACAAGTCCAGACCCATGCTGGCTCAGGCTGGTTTCTGACTCCCAACATCCACCTCCCAAGGGGCCAGCCCCTGAAAAGTCCCACGTGCTATTTTCCCTGGTGGCCACTCCCCTGCAGACAGCGGCCAACGTCACCCCAGAGCCTGTTGAACAAAGCCCCTGTGGACTAGAAAAGAACCTGAAGTGGGCTCAGTAACCCCACCCCTACCTCTCCCAGCGACTGCAGACACCAGCATCTTGACAGAGAAGGCCCATGATGGGGGGGGGGGGGTTGGTTTTGTTTTGGATTCTTCTCATTTACTTCACATTGGCCAGAGCTGGTAAGCACGTTCTCCTCCCTTACTATACTGTACTCAGCATGCCCGACTCCCTGGCTCCTCACGTGGAAACCAGCCTAGTTTCCAGGGAGAGCAAGCAGTTTGCAGGTGCATTTCAGCCTTTAATCAATCAAAAGGAGAGGGAACACACTGGCCAGTGGAGAGGTTGAGTAGCCCAGCCTCCCAGCAGAGGGGCCCAAGCGCTGGGCTCCTCGCAGACACCGGCAGGAGACAATAAGGGGCTGTGGGGAAAAGGGAGAGCAGTAAACGGGGGAGAGGGGTGGCTGAGGGAACAAAGGGGAGTGGGCATGACCTCATACCTCATCAGTAAAATCAGGACTGGCCTCTCTTGGCGGCATCACCAGACAGAAGCCCTAGGTTCTAAGTGACAAAGCTTTCTCCTCCCTCCCCATGCCCTGAGAGCTCCTTCTCTTTCCACTGTGCCACAATCCTCTTGTCAATCAACCACATTTACTCGGGCCATAAGCCTCTCCGTATGGTGCCAGATGGCAGCTCTGTGCACCTGGATCCTTCCTACCCACACCTGTCTAGTCCTGTGGTCCCACGATCCCTTTCATTACTGATAGTGTCCTACCATTCCCATCTTGGTCCTCGCCTGTCCATCTCCTTCAAAGCTTGCCTCCTCCAGGAAGCTCATCTGACCTCCCAAACTGCAGTCACCATGCTCTGTCCTGAATGTACCACCCGTGGAGCTGAGGTGCGGCCACAGAGCTCACCTGTGGCAGTTTTCACTCCATCTGCTTGTAGAGACCCCTCTCTCGTTCTAGATCAGAGACACTGGCTGGCAGGCACCTCACTGGACCCCCATGGCTCTTTGCTCACTGCCTACAACGTGTCTGCTGAACTGACTTTCACCTCAGTAAACTTCGGTTGTCTTCCCTAAGCTTATGTTTTCCTCCTGCCACAGTGACCTTGCCTTGTGACCTCAGTGAAGTCTGGACTTGAGATTCTTTGTATTTAAGTAAAGTGGTCTCTGAGAGTGCAATGCTGTGTGCTCCAGATGGGTTTCTTCTGGCACACACGCTGCCGCCAAGCCCCTTCCCACCAGAGGCAGACATCGCTAATCAGTTCTGGCATCATTTATAGCCTTCCAATCAGCTGACTGCTAATGTTCCAGATCACCCCCCCCTCCTCCCTTCTTGAGTTGTTTCATCATCCTCCCCATCCCAACTCCTGGTGTCTGGCTTGCTTCAAATGCAACTCTGAAATTGCACATGGCTAGAGACACACAATCAACCCCCACAAGGAGACAGCTCCCAGGCCTCCTGAGATGTTATCTGGCATGTCCACAACACCCTTTCCAGGCCTCAAACCTCATAATCTAGGCGCATTTCACATTTTTTTTTTTTTTAAGTAGGCTGCATGCCCAACATGGGGCTTGAACTTGTGACCCTGAGATCAAGAGTCACACACTCTATTATCCTAGCCAGCCCCTGTGGGTAGTAGAGCATTTCAAATGCAAAGGTCAAAAAACAACAAAATCAAATAAATAAATTCTGCTTCTGAAGTATGTGTCTGAGACCTCACCCAGAGCGAAGTTCCTTGTCCTTCAGAGTAGCACACAAAGTCTCTTTCCCTGATCCCCTATGCTTTAAATACCCAACTGATGGCGCCTACAAATTCAGCTTAAGACCATTGCTTGTCAATGGTTCCCTTAGAAGAATATTAAATCTTGGGGTGCCTGGGTGGCTCAGTTAGTTAAGCATCTGACTTGTAATTTCAGCTGAGATGTCATGATGTCAGGTCATGAGATCGAGTCCTGGGTCAGGCTCCACGCTTGGCGGGGAGCCTGCTGGAGATTTTCTCCCTCCCTCTCCCTCTGCCCTTTCTCCAACTTGCACACACATTCTCTCTCTTTCAAATAAATTAATAAAAAAAAAAAGAATGGTACTCAAGGCAAGTTTATCCCCCCAAATTGTTTTCCTGCAGTAAAATGCAGATAACATAAAGTTTACCATCTTATCCATTTCCAAGTGCACAGTCCAGCGGCGTTAAGCACGTTCACGTGGTTGTGCAGTCCTCATTGCCATCGTTCTCCAGAACTCCTCTCACCCCGCAAAACTGGACCTCCAATCCCAATGGATGCTAGCTCCCCATCTCCCCTCTCCCGAACCCCACCCCCACCTTCCTACTTTCTGTCTCCATGATTTGTACCACTCTGATACCTCACCTGAATGGAATCACACGGGATTTGTCTTTTTGTGACCAGCTGACTTCACTTAGCATAATGTCCCTGAAGCCCATCCACGAGCC